GTGAAATGATAGAGAGAATAAATTTTATACAATTAGTGACGCAGATGGAAGCGTAAGAAACGAAGGATACCTTCAAAGACTCACTGATTCTACAAATAGCCGGTAATTTGACAATAATTTTTTTTTTTTAAATTGAAGAATGAATAGTCCCAATAATCCAAAAAAAGTACAGAAATACGAAAGAAACACAAGGATTTTTTGGCCGAAGGCCTGGATGTTCACCCAAAAGGGCTACGTCACCATGTTGAACTTCCATCGAAGTGGTTAACGCTTTAATCCACTAGAAACCGACAATAGAGTATCAATACAAGGTTTACAAACTACAGATCTAAAAAGATTAACCCTCAGATCCTATATTTTCCCTCACAGATTCGAACAAACAGATTATACCAAGTAATCTACCCTCACTGTTCAACCAAGAACAGATACAACCTTAACACCAAGTACACGAATCAGATCTCACTAAGAACATCTACAGATTCAGAGATTAAACCAAAAACTAAAGCTTTTTCGAGAGAAAATTATAGAGAGTAGAAAATGAAAAGCTAACCCTAGAAGCCTCTCGAATAATGACGGTAAGTGAAAAGTCTAGGTGTAAGTATAGTGAAACGACATTTGCATCCAACGGTTCCGTCGGCTCCACTTGGCACCATCTCGTCCATCCAATTAAAACAAATGGAAATCGCATTTGAAGTACACGACTTTGCAACAAGTGGGGGCAAAAAAAAACCGGGTCACAAACTTGGGCTCAATTGTTGGGTTCCATCATTGGGCCACTAAGAAAGGTATTAAGCATTTTATTTAACAATCTCCACCTTGCTTGACACCTTTGGGTTTCATTGTGGACTAGAGGTTAACTCCTCCTTCGATATCTTGTGTTCTTTATACTTGCAAAAAGATTTCAATTAGGAATAATATTTAGGAGATTTAAACAATCCCTAAATTTATGTACATGAAGTATTTTTGTACCCATATCTGCTGGATTACACTTAGTGGATATCTTTTCAATTTTTATTATGTTCTTTTCTAAAATGTCTCTTATAAAATGGAATTTAACATCTATGTGTTTTGTTCTATCATGAAAAACGAGATTTCTACTGAGATGTATAGCAAATTGGCTATCAGAATGTATTAAAGCATCATTACTAGTAAAGCCAATTTCATCCAACATATTTTTCAACCAAATACCTTCCTTTACAGCATCTGTTGCTGCAATATATTCAACCTCTGTAGAAGACAGAGCTACTATCTTTTGCAGCTGTGATTTTCAGCTTATGCAGGTGTCATTTAAAGTAAAAACATATGCAAATGTTGATTTTCTATTATCACAATTACCAGTAAAATCAGAATCTACAAATCCATTTAATTTAATCCCAATTTTCCTTTTTCCAAACATTAGTCCTAATTTTGAAGTTCCCTTAAGATATTTAAGTAGCCATTTCATGCCTTCCCAGTGTTGTTCACCAGGATTACTCGTATATCTACTTAGTACACTTATAGCAAAAGCAAGATCAGGCCTTGTGCAAACCATAATGTACATCACTGAACCTATAGCATTAGCATAAGGGATTTTATCCATTCTATTTCTATCTTAATTTTAGGACACTGTTCAATAGAGAATTTAAAATGACTGCCAAGTGGTGAGGTAACTTCCTTTGCTTTATCCATAGTAAATTTACATAGAATTTTGGAAACATATGACTCTTGAGTTAGAAATAGTGTGTTGTCACTTCTATTTCTCCTAATTTCCATTCCTAGGATTCTTTTAGCTGATCCTAAGTCTTTCATTTCAAACTCTTGTTTTAACTTTTGCTTGATATTATTTATTTAGTTACATCATACCCAGCAAGTAACTTATCATCAACATAAAGCAAAAGATAATAAGAATCAGGACCTCCACCACCTTTATAATAAAAACATGGATCATATTCACTCCTATTAAAGTCAAGACCTTTTATAAAAGTATCAAACCTAATGTACCACTATCTAGGGGTCTGTTTCAGCCTATAGAGTGATTTTTACAAAATGCACACAGTTTTCTTTTCCTTTTTGTTCAAAACCTTTAGGTTGAGTCATATAAATTTTTTCTTCTAAGTTACCGTTTAAGAAAGCAGTTTTTGCATCTAACTATTCCAATTCAAAATCAAATTGTGAAACAATACAAAGAAGAATTCTTATAGAGTTATATTTGACTACAGGTGAAAAAATTTAATTATAGTCAATTCCTTCTCTTTGGTTAAAGCCTTTTGCAACTAGTCTGGCCTTAAATCTTACATTTCCATCTTTTGCATCATCTTCTTTAATTTTGTAAATCCATTTGCAATCAATAACCTTTCCCCTTTTTGGTTTATTAACTAAGACCCAAGTCTTATTTTTGTCAAGTGAAAGTATTTCATCCTTCATGGCTGCTAGCCAAGAATTTGAATTTTTTCCCCCAATTACCTCTTCATATGAATTAGGTTCATTTTCTAGAAAATTCTATATGTTTAAGGCTATGACAAGATCTGATTCATTGTATCTTGCAGGTGGTCTTATCTCCCTCCTTCCTCTATCTCTAGTAAGTTGATAGTCTTCTAAGGGATTTATTGGTGGGACAAGTTTAGATTCAATATCTTGTTCAAATTTAGGTTCAGGGGCTATTTCTTGTTCATTAGTAAGCTCCACCTTAATCTGGTCATTGGTTTCAAGATTTGAAATGGGTGGGGATATTTCAGATTGAAGATATGAATTGTTTTCACTTATTTGAGGGGCTGTAGGTGCTTTTTCTTTAGTACAAGGCATGCCCATTTCATTAAATATTACATTTCTACTGATTATGACTCTATAACCTTCCTGATCCTTAACCCAGATTCTGTAGCCTTTTACACCCTCACCATAATCTAATAAAATGCCTTTAATTGATCTAGGTTCAAGTTTCCTTTCATTTTGATGTACATAAGCTACACATCTAAAAACTTTCAGTTTGGAGTAATCAACTGGGTCACCATTCCAAACATGATCAGGAGTGTCATAATTCAAGGATTTTGTGGGGCATTTGTTTATCAAATATGATGCAGTTTTAACAGCTTCCCCCCAGAACAATTTTGGAAGTCCTTCACTAATTAACATGCACCTAACTCTTTCTAACAGAGTCCTATTCATCATTTTTGCTAGACCATTCTGTTGTGGGGGTATAGGTGACTGTCCTATGCTTTAAAATTTCATTATTATTACAGAAATTATCAAATTCCTCATTACAGAATTCAAGGCCGTTGTCAGTTCTAAGGGTTTTAACCTTTTATTTACTTGGTTTTCAATTAAGGTTTTCCATGTAATAAAGTTTTGAAAAGTATCTGATTTATTTTTCAAAAGAGTAACCCAGGTCTTTATTGAAAAATCATCAACAATTAGTAAGACATATTTAAAACCAGAATAGATATTTACTGTAGCTGGTCCCCACAGATCAGCATGAAAATATTCAAGAATAGACTTAGATTTATGGACTCCTATACCAAAAGGTAGTTTTCTTTATTTTCCATAAATGCAGTGTTCACAAAAGGACATCCTTTCAATTTTTTCATTTCCTAAAAGGCCTTGCTTCTTAAGAATATATAAATTTTTATCACTCACATGTCCTAGTCTTTTGTGCCAAATTTCAGATCTATCAAGCTGAGTTACTGCTGCTGAAATTGGTTTGTTCATCATTGGCAAAGTTTTTAAAACATAGATCCCATTGATTTTTTCAACACAAGTGATCTTTTTCAAGTTCTTTTGTAAATTCAAGGTGCCTTTGTTTATAGTTGTATCAAAAACTTCATCATCAAGAACACCTAAAGAGATTAAATTTCCTTTAGCTTGGAAATGTATCTGATCTTGTTCAGATTCAGTACATTTCCATTTTCTAGTCTTAAATCAACTTTGCAAATTCCTTTAATTTTACAAGTAACATCATTTCCCAATATTAATTGACCGTCATTAATTTCAGTAAAATCTATAAAGTATTCCTTACAGGGTGTCATGTGAAATATACACCCTGAGTCAAGGATCCATTCATCCTTGATTAAAGATTGACAAGCCACATAGACTTGTCCATTTAAGCCTCCAGCTTCTTCATAAGCAATATTAGCTCCACCTTCAATTTTATTGATGTTTTTCAGTTCATCAATCCTTTTAACACAATCTTTGATGAAGTGACCCATTTTCCCACAAAAGTAGCATTTCTTTCCTTTAGCCTTATTATTGTTATGAATAAACCTGATCTTACCT